GAGATTGTGAGATGGATTAGAGGGATGGACGGTAGAGATCGGGAGAGAGGGATTGTGAGGGAGGGGAGAGATGGAGGGGGTGGGGTTGGGAGTGATGGGGATGAAGGGGGATGGAGGAAGCGGTTTCCTCTTTCCTTGTTTTCATTCGCAAATCGCAGCTCAGGAAGCCGGGCGGTGGCACACATTCGCGTGCGTGCGAGTGTTTACAAAGACAAACAAAGACCCCCCGGTGTAGCATTAACAGACTGTTGGGGCAAGTGCTGTGAGCGACTTGTAGCACCACCTCTGAAGGCCGGCAGGGCACACGAGGGGGTGGGTTAACAAGCGCCACGCCTCGGCCGCCTTTGTCGCTGGTGTTGTACTCATTTGAGGCCGAGTAGACGTAGAGGAGACCCCACGGGACCGGTTCAGATAATCGTCACTGGTGCGGGCCGTGAGTCGAACTCGGGCCGCCGGGTTCGTGGCGCGGCGCGCTGACCGCTACTCCACCGCTCCCCCCACACACGCACATAAAGACAAAGATCCCCCGTGTAGCCTTAACAGACTGTCGGGGCAAGTGCTGTTAGCGAATATCAGCACCTATGAAGGCCGGCACGGCACACGAGGGGGTGTGTGGCCAGCACCAAGCCCGGCCGCCTTTGGCGATGTTTACACACCACAACCAGGTACTCATTTGAGGCTGAGTCGACCTAGGTGAGGCCCAGGACCGATTCAAATAGTCGTCACTGGTGTTGGCCGTGAGCGAAAATCGAACCCGGGTCGCCAGGTTCGTAGCGCAGCGCACTAACCGCTACACTACCAAACACACACACACACACACGTAAACACACACGTAAACATACACACACGTAAACACACACACACGTAAACACACGTGCATGTGTGTGTGTCCTTAAGAATTCAACAAAGCGGTTTGTAGCGATTCCCGCTCACGGCCAACGCCAGTGACGATTATCTGAACCTGTTATGGGCCTCCCCTAGGTCGACTCAGCCTCAAATGAGAACCTGGTTGCGGTGCGTAAACATCGCCACTGGGGGAGACAAAGGCGTGGTGCTGGCCCACCCACCCCCCACGTGGTGCCACAGTGTCGGCCTTCATAGGTGCTGCTCGCTGACAAGCACTTGCCCCCAACGGCCTGTTGCAAGGCTACACGGGGGATCTTTGTCTTTGGCAGTGGTTGACAAGGCGAGCGAACGGCGTAATCCACCACGTGTCCGTCCAGCGTTCACGCAGAGAGGAAAGCAAACGATGGAATCGGCCTCATTAGGCCCACGGCATGTTAATGATTTCAGTGTTAGCCCCGACAAATGATGGCATTAGCGGCAGCCGGACCCGGCAAAGGCCTGGTAAGCAAAAGCGCAAATACGATATTTGTTTAATTTAGAGTGCGTGTGTGGTGTGGCGTGCGATTTGAAGTCAATTTGCGGAGGAAGGGTGGCGCAGAGGTTAACGCACTCTGCTACGGACCCGTCAAATCCGAGTTCGACTCCGGCTCACGGCCAACACCGCTAACGAATACCTTGAACCGGTCTTTGGGCCTCTCTTAGTTAGACTCGGCCTCAAATGAGTACCTGGTGCGGTGTGTAAACATCACCACTGGGGAGACAAAGGGCGGCCGGGCGTGGTGCTGGCCACCCATCACCTCGCGTGCTCCTCCGGCCTTCATAGGCGCTGCTACTCGATACGAACGGCACTTGCCCCAACAGTCTGTTAAGGCTACACGGGGGAACTTTGTCTTTGTGCGTGAGTTTGTAACCAGCTGGGCGGTAGTTGCCATTGACGGAGATGACCTTCTGTGATGTTGCACTCGGCGTGGTCAATGAGCCACTTAACCAATGCGCTGATTGGTTATTTTTTACAATTGGGGGGGGGGGGGGGGGGGGGGTGAGGAAGGGGTTGAGAAGAAGGGGGAGGGGGAATTGGGGGGGGGGGGGGGAGGGGGAAATTGGAGGAAGGGGAGGGGGAATTGGGGGAGGGGGGTTCTAAAGGATGAGGATGACTTGGCTCCTGGAGAATTCACCCAGGAGTGGATTGATCACGGCTGATGGTGATGATTGCATTATAATTAACATTGCCCCGTAAGAAATGTTAATAATCTGTCCCAAAAGCGTCGCGATAATGCTGAAAATTAAGAAGAAAAATAACACGCGCTCGTGCAATTAAGCATTTGTATATTGACTCGAGATAACGGAGTCAATTACTTTGTAAATGGTCAGAAATGGCTCTGTGCTCGAGCCAAGTTGTTGGAAAAAATAAATCAACAACGTTATCTGGTGGAACACGCGGACTGTTCCACTCAGCTACCCCGGTACAACCTCGCTGTGTTCTGGTGGAACGCGCGGACTGTTCCACTCAGCTACCCCGGTACAACCTCGCTGTGTTCTGGTGGAACGCGCGGAGTGTTCTACTCAGCTACCCCGGTACAACCTCGCTGTGTTCTGGTGGAACGCGCGGACTGTTCCACTCAGCTACCTCGGTACAACCTTGCTGTGTTCTGGTGGAACGCGCGGACTGTTCCACTCAGCTACTCCGAGACAACCCATAGACACACGTGGAGACCCATCGACTCACGCAGAGACCCACAGACTTATTGAGAGACCCATCGACTCACAGAGAAACCCATCGACTCATAGAGAAACCCATAGACTCACAGATAAACCCATCGACTCATAGAGAGACCCATCGACTCACAGAGAAACCCATCGACTCATAGAGAGACCCATCGACTCACAGAGAAACCCATCGACTCATAGAGAGACCCATCGACTCACAGAGAAACCCACAGACTTATTGAGAGACCCATCGACTCACAGAGAAACCCATCGACTCATAGAGAAACCCATAGACTCACAGAGAAACCCATCGACTCATAGAGAGACCCATCGACTCATAGAGAGACCCATCGACTCACAGAAAAACCCACAGACTTATTGAGAGACCCATCGATTCATAGAGAGACCCATAGACTCATAGAGAGACCCATAGACTCACAGAGAAACCCATAGACTCATAGAGAGACCCATAGACTCACAGAGAAACCCATAGACTCATAGAGAAACCCATCGACTCATAGAGAGACCCATCGACTCACAGAGAAACCCATAGATTCAGAGTGATACCCATCATAATTCGTTGCCCTACTGCACCTCCACTTTGCACGCTTTTGGCAGCGCACGGTGGGAAAGAAGCCCAACACACACGAACACACGTTACGCTACGTAGTCGCCGAGCTACGCTCCGCGCCAGCACCACCACGTGCGTCAGAGTGGGCCACGGGGGTTCGACCCGAGTGCTAGCAGGGGGTGATACCCAAGAGGAACGACGGGGGGGGGGGTTGCACCCCCGATAATCGCACGCACGCGCGCGCACACAGAGATCCCCCCACGTAGCCTGCAGCAGACTGTAGAGGCAAGTGCTGTAAGCGAGCAGCACCTTTCAAGCCGCCATTCAGGAGGGCGTGGGTTCGATCTTGACCCTACCGCCTGCTGTATATTTGGAGTTTGCGTGTCTCTCTCTCATGATCATCACGGTGGCTAGGAGATGTTAACTACCTCGCCTGGCATACAGGGGGTCGTGGGTTCGCTCCCGACCCTGACGCCTGCTGTATATTTGAAGTTTACGGTGTCTCTCTCTCATCATCATCACGGTGGCTAGGAGATGTTAACTACCTCGCCTGGTATACAGGAGGTCGTGGGTTCGATCCCGACCCTGACGCCTGCTGTATATTTGGAGTTTGCGTGTCTCTCTCTCTCATCATCATCACGGTGGCTAGGAGATGTTGACTACCTCGCCTGGTATACTGGATGTCGTGGGTTCGCTTCCGACCCTGACGCCTGTTGTATATTTGGATAATAGAGGGTTTTTTTGCGTTAGATCGCGTAAATATATAAATGTGTCGTTAAACCCGCCACCACCCGACACAGCCAACGAGTAATGGTTGTCACGTAAAGAGAACGTCGCCAATTCGTCACTAGTACAGCACACCCGGTGTGCTGGAAAGCCAAGCCACAACATTTACAAGCTGAGTGCGACGTTTCGCCAGTAATTACAACTAGCTTCATCAGGTGACAGCCAGATTTATGGAGAAGTCCGCCTGTTTTGTTCCTTACGTAGAGGCGTAGATGTGCTGACCACGCTTCTGCATTCTTGGGCAAATTGGGGGGTGGGGAGGAATAATGAGTCAACGTACATTGCGAGCCCTTTGATCTTGTACTTCCTGCCCATTGTTTGTATTAAAATAACCGTACCAACGGTAATCCCTATTGAAGTACTGTAGAGGCATGCATTTAAACAATGTATTATTTGACGATTCGCTTAGACGCAGCACTAAGTCGGTAGCTATCTGAACGGTTAAAATTTAATTGACTTCTTTCAATTTCGATAGATTCTCTTATTAGGCTTGGCCAGTCGTCGCTAGTTTTGCACAGAACTCCGACATTATGAAAATCAATGTGTCCTTGTTGGCATGCGTGTGTCTTGTGTGCATTGTGTGTGTATTTTAATACACACACAATGGACTGGAAGAACAAGATCAAAGGGCTCGCATAATGCGCATGCATAATTTACGTTGACTCATTCATCCCCTAACTACCTCGCCTGGTATACACGAGGTCGTGGGTTCGATCCCGATCCCGACCCTGACGCCTGCTGTATATTTGGAGTTTGCGGTGTCTCTCTCTCCCCGTGGTCGCGTGGATTTGTCTCTGGGTTTTTTCCTTCACATTAAGAATCAACGTCACGCTGTTTAGAGTAATTGGCTGCTTTAAATGCCCACGTGATCAGCCAACTTCGTTGAGATATCATTCGTGATAGCCAGGTCGCTTCTGACAAAAGAGTTTTACACAGCTCAGTGAGCGCAGCTGGCGGGAAGGGCCTTCACAACTAGTGGGAGCTCCTGGGGTAATCTTGGCCTACTCTTCCACGCACGGCACGGCTGAGTGGACGTCTCGCCCCTAAATCCCTCTTGTCCCCCCCCCCCCCCTCCCTCCCGGGTGTGCAGGATCTGCTGCACCTATCGGAAGCGCAGCTGCGCGACCTGGGCGTGCGTAACGCGGCCCACAGAGCACACATCATGTCCAGCATCCGCTGCCTTCGCGCGCAGGTGCAGCGCAGAGGTCAGTAACAATCAGCACCGCTCGCTCGCTCCCTAACCCCCACCCTCTCCCAATCCCTGACCGCCCGCCACTCGCCACCCCCCCTCCCCCATCCCGTGGAATTTTCAGAATTCAGGCTCGGGAAGAAGGCTCCCGGCACGACGGACGCGAAACGTCGGACGCCGCGCGATCACCCGAACGCGGTCGGGGCGCTTTTATATATTTACATATCCGTGCGTTTCTTCTCAACAGAAGAGAAGATACGCAGGAGAAATAATCAAATAAAGCCGCGAGGATTGTTTGTGATTGCCCTGTGTGTGTGTGTACACTGTAGCTTGTTGCGCAAAGTTCACCCAAGCGGCAAGCTTTGTGCTCGAATCGTAAACTGCTCTTCCGTTTTGACTGTTCGTCGCAATCTCCAATCTATTCGCCGTGAGAGATCGCTTCGGCGTGGAGATTGGAGATGGTGCGTGGGTGTGGGGGGCAGGGGGAGGGGCAGCAGGGGTGGTGGGGGGGTGTGCTGCTCTCTGTGTTCGGATGCCCATCGCCAGTCAGCTGGTGCGCGCGCGTGCCAAATGCACGCGCGCGGAGCAATCCAAGCAAAACGCAGATTCGAGAACAATGAGGCGAGAACACCAAAAACATAGACTTGACCCACACACGTAGACACACAGAGAGCCACAGACATCATGGACTTACACAGAGACCCACAGACGTTATAGACTTACACAGGGAGCCACAGACATCATAGACTTACACACAGAGCCACAGACATCATAGACTTACACAGAGAGCCACAGACATCATAGCCTTACACAGAGAGCCACAGACATAATAGACTTACACAGAGAGCCACATACATCATAGACTTACACAGAGAGACACATACATCATAGACTTACACAGAGAGCCACAGACATCATAGACTTACACAGAGAGCCACAGACATCATAGACTTACACAGAGAGCCACATATATCATAGACTTACACAGAGCCACAGACATCATTGACTTACACAGAGAGCCACAGACATCATAGACTTACACAGAGAGCCACATATATCATAGACTTACACAGAGAGCCACAGACATCATAGACTTACACAGAGAGCCACAGACATCATAGACTTACACAGAGAGCCACATACATCATAGACTTACACAGAGAGACACATACATCATAGACTTACACAGAGAGCCACAGACATCATAGACTTACACAGAGAGCCACATATATCATAGACTTACACAGAGCCACAGACATCATTGACTTACACAGAGAGCCACAGACATCATAGACTTACACAGAGAGCCACATATATCATAGACTTACACAGAGAGCCACAGACATCATAGACTTACACAGAGAGCCACAGACATCATAGACTTACACAGAGAGCCACAGACATCATAGACTTACACAGAGAGGCACAGACATCATAGACTTACACAGAGAGCCACAGACATCATAGACTTACACAGAGAGCCACATATATCATAGACTTACACAGAGAGCCACAGACATCATAGACTTACACAGAGAGCCACAGACATCATAGACTTACACAGAGAGCCACGGACATCATAGACTTACACAGAGAGCCACAGACATCATAGACTTACACAGAGAGCCACATGTATACCAAGCGAGGTAGTTAACATCTCCTAGCCACCGTGGCGCCCGCTTGAATCCAAATCGCTTGGGTACCCATGCTAAGATAATGGACATCTGTATCTCTCTCTCCGTCTCTGTGTCTGCCCCGTGCCATCCCTCGCAGACTTCGGTAATCGTGATCTCGCTTTCATCCGGCTATTGTCCCGTGATATTTACTCAAAGGAATTTGCATTGGAATATTTTTGGAACTAATTATTATGTTGGAACATATTTTGGCAACTTATTATTACGTTGGAACTTATTTTTGGAAGTTATTTTGGAACTAATTGTCATGTTGGAATTTAATTTTGCAACTTATTATTATGCTGGAACTTATTTTTCGCGCCGGACTTGGCCAACCGTGCCCGTCGGAGGTGCTGTGGGTGAGAGACACCCAAGCAAAACACAAAGAGACGATAAATAATCTCCCGTCTCTTATCTCGTCTGTCATCGCTCTAAACCTCATCTCTTGCCTAAATAGCCCTAATCTTCCTACATCGCTCGTTTATATTGTTATCTCTCATCTAAACAATATAATTACCGCTTAGGTGCACGCCACCGGCCCTGCGATGGGTTAGCGCCACCGCTGGTCACTATACAAAAATGTAAATCACTCTGATCACAATCGTTACACTCAAATGTACATATTTTAAAATATATATTCATATGCCCATTACATGTTGGCATTCACACAGGAAATGGCAACATTCATGATCGGAAACTGCAAAAAGGAAATTACTCTCTCGGGCGGGGCCTCGATGAACAACTCAGAGGTCAGGTTCCGCTGCTGTACCGGGGTAGCTGAGTGGAACAGTCCACGTGTTCCACCAGGACACAGCGAGGCTGTACCGGTGTAGCTGAGTGGAACAGTCCACGTGTTCCACCAGGACACAGCGAGGTTGTATCGGGGTAGCTGAGTGGAACAGTCTACGTTTTGATGATTTTAAAGTGCACAGCTCCAGTGGCTCCCTAATATTGGAAGGAAGAGCGTTCCAGACGGTCGCAGAAGCGCACCTGAAAGCGCGCGATGCGGTGAACGATTGAGAGGGTAGGTGGGTTAGTAGGTGAGTGAGTGGAGGTGTTTGTGAGTGTGCGAGTGGGTGAATAGGTGGGTGAGTAGGTGAGTGAGTAGGTTAGTGAGTGGCGGTGTTGGTGAATGTTGCGAGTGAGTTCGAAGGTAGGTGGATTAGTAGGTGGGTGAATAGGTGGGTGAGTAGGTGGCTGAGTAGGTTAGTGAGTGGGGGTGTTAGTGAGTGTGCGGATAGGTGAGTAGGTGGGTGAGTAGGTGAGTGAGTAGGCGTGTCAGTGAGTGTGCGAGTGAGGTAGAGAGCGTGTGGTTGAGTAGGTGGGTGAGTATGTGGGTGAGTATGTGGGTGAGTAGGTGAGTGAGTATGTGGGTGAGTATGTGAGTATGTGGGTGAGTATGAGGGTGAGTATGTGGGTGAGTATGTGGGTGAGTAGGTGGGTGAGTATGTGGGTGAGTATGTGAGTATGTGGGTGAGTATGAGGGTGAGTATGTGGGTGAGTATGTGGGTGAGTAGGTGGGTGAGTATGTGGGTGAGTATGTGAGTGAGTAGGTGGGTGAGTATGTGGGTGAGTATGTGGGTGAGTAGGTGAGTGAGTATGTGGGTGAATAGGTGGGTGAGTATGTGGGTGAGTATGTGGGTGAGTATGTGGGTGAGTAGGTGAGTGAGTATGTGGGTGAAAAGGTGGGTGAGTATGTGGGTGAGTATGTGGGTGAGTATGTGGGTGAGTAGGTGGGTGAGTATGTGGGTGAGTATGTGAGTATGTGGGTGAGTATGAGGGTGAGTATGTGGGTGAGTATGTGGGTGAGTAGGTGGGTGAGTATGTGGGTGAGTATGTGAGTGAGTAGGTGGGTGAGTATGTGGGTGAGTAGGTGGATGAGTAGGTGAGTGAGTATGTGGGTGAATAGGTGGGTGAGTATGTGGGTGAGTATGTGGGTGAGTATGTGGGTGAGTGAGTGAGTATGTGGGTGAGTATGTGGGTGAGTATGTGGATGAGTATGTGAGTGAGTATGTGGGTGAGTATGTGGGTGAGTATGAGGGTGAGTATGTGGGTGAGTATGTGGGTGAGTATGAGGGTGAGTATGTGGGTGAGTAGGTGAGTGAGTATGTGGGTGAGTGTGTGGGTGAGTATGTGGGTGAGTAGGTGTGTGAGTATGTAGGTGAGTATGTGGGTGAGTATGTGGTTGAGTATGCGGGTGAGTAGGTGAGTGAGTATGTGGGTGAGTATGTGGGTGAGTTTGTGGGTGAGTAGGTGGGTGAGTATGTGGGTGAGTAGGTGGGTGAGTAGGTAGGTAAGTATGTGGGTGAGTATGTGGGTGAGTAGGTGAGTGAGTAGGTGGGTGAGTATGTGGGTGAGTATGTGGTTGAGTATGTGAGAATGTAGGTGAGTATGTGGGTGAGTATGTGGGTGAGTATGTGGGTGAGTATGTGGGTGAGTATGTGGGTGAGTAGGTGGGTGAGTATGTGGGTGAGTATGTGGGTGAGTAGGTGGGTGAGTATGTGGGTGAGTATATGGGTGAGTATGTGGGTGAGTATGTGGGTGAGTAGGTCGGTGAGTATGTGGGTGAGTAGGTGGGTGAGTATGTGGGTGAGTAGGTGAGTGAGTATGTGGGTGAGTATGTGGGTGAGTATGTGGGTGAGTAGGTGGGTGAGTATGTGGGTGAGTATGTGGGTGAGTATATGGGTGAGTAGGTGGGTGAGTATGTGGGTGAGTATATGGGTGAGTATGTGGGTGAGTATGTGGGTGAGTAGGTGGGTGAGTATGTGGGTGAGTATGTGGGTGAGTATGTGGGTGAGTAGGTGAGTGAGTATGTGGGTGAGTATGTGGGTGAGTATGTGGGTGAGTAGGTGAGTATGTGGGTGAGTATGTGCGTGAGTAGGTGAGTGAGTATGTGGGTGAGTATGTGGGTGAGTAGGTGAGTGAGTATGTGGGTGAGTATGTGGGTGAGTATGTGGGTGAGTATGTGGGTGAGTATGTGGGTGAGTATGTGGGTGAGTATGTGGGTGAGTAGGTGGGTGAGTATGTGGGTGAGTATGTGGGTGAGTAGGTGGGTGAGTATGTGGGTGAGTATGTGGGTGAGTAGGTGAGTGAGTATGTGGGTGAGTATGTGGGTGAGTAGGTGAGTGAGTATGTGGGTGAGTATGTGGATGAGTAGGTGAGTGAGTATGTGGGTGAGTATGTGGGTGAGTAGGTGAGTATGTGGGTGAGTATGTGGGTGAGTATGTGGGTGAGTAGGTGGGTGAGTATGTGGGTGAGTAGGTGGGTGAGTATGTGGGTGAGGCCATGATGCGTCCCAGTTCTTCTGCGTCTCGAGGGTGGCAGCCCCCTCTCGGCAACGGCG